GCACGAGAACTTGGCATGGATAGCATGGCCATGCAAACCGTCCTTACATATGCGGCACAATTTGGCGCAGGGAAACCTGCCAAAGTCTTCGGCTACATTCCAGATTATAAGGGAAACCTCAATCTTTCAGACGACAGCAATTTTCACCCGCGCGTGCATCTTGCACTGCAGTATCTCGTGCGAAACTATTTCCGGGTTGAACATGTAGTAGCAGTTAGATTGGCCAAGAGTGTGTCCTATCTACCTGCAATTAAGTACGCCACCGGGTCTACGCTGATTCACTGCGATAACGACGTCAACCCAGCCTTCCACTATTATGAGTGCGTGGGCACTGGCCTAAACATTTTTCAAATCACTGGTAGCACTCACTCCAGACTCATCCAATGCTTGACATCAGATGTTCCTTCCTTAGGATTTCATGACGACCTGGCCAAGTATCAGCACTTGGGCACCACGTCGCGTCTGGAGAACACGACCCGCCTGGAAACAGGCCTCCACCAGACACCCCAGGTGCTTCATCACCAAGTGAAGGCCGTCTGTCTACAATCTACGAAGAAAACGAGGAACATGATATAGAAGCCATGATGCTGGAGGAGTGGTGCGATGAGTTACGTATGGACCTTCATCCCACGACGATCACCGACGATCATCTTTATTGCGTCCCAACAACTATTCTGCCCGACCAATGTGTTTTGGTTGCAACATCCGTGGGCGAAGAAGATATCGTAGCGTCGGAAATGCTCGGAGACGAGCCTGAACCACTAGAGCCCTGTCTTGTCTCTCTATGCTCAACCACACCCGACGAGGGGTATTCTCTTGACAGTGATGAACATTGTCCTGATATTGAGTTCTGTTTTACATCAGATATGTCAAAGGTAGTGTCGGATCAGACTCAACTTGCACAGCTCGACACTGGTATGGTCGCAACGATGAGAGTATACGTATCCTCGGCTGCTAAACGTGCTGCGGCAGTTAAGGGAGACGACCTACTCACCAAAGCCGACATAGCAGCACACCCTAAAGAGGTTAGGGAAGCTTTGTACACCGAGCTCAAGATCTGGCTTGATAACCGGTGCTTTGAGATGTATGACCGATCTAAAGCTTCCAACATCATGACATCCAGATATGCGTATAAGTGGAAATTGTGAAGGTAGGTACCGAGAACGTTAAAACCATCCGTCTCAGACTTGTCGTTCGTGGATTTATGGACACTGAGGCGTTCAAAATGGAAACCCTCTCAGGAACTGCTCGAAGGCAGTCCCAGAGGCTCCTGGCAAGCGAGGCGGCATGCCATCCAGAGTGGATCTTAGCTTCCATGGATATCGACAAAGCGTTCCTCAAGGGCTTGACCTATGAGGAACTTGCTCATGCCACCGGCGAGGAAACTCGCATGGTTTGCTTCACTCTTCCACCAGGAAGCGCCCAGGTACTTTGTATACTGCCCGGCTTCTCGTCCTATGATGAAAGCCGACACTGCCTCAGGTGCCTCAAGCCAGGGACGGGCACAAAGGACGCCCCAAGAGCGTTCCCCCTCAAGCTTCGTACGACCACGCGAGCTATAGGCCTTACACAGACAAGTTATGATCCTGAGTTCGAATTCGGTCAAGATCTGCTAACAGCAAAACAGGTTGACGACATCAATATGACAGGCCTAGAGAAAAATATAGACGACTATGTACAACGTGTCGAAAAGGTTTGATCAATGCAAGCTTAACAAACATTCCTATACGAACTGCGCCGTTCGCTGCACCAAGAATGACCAAGGGGGTGCGATCATGGACCAGGACGAGTACATTAAACAACTACATCCTATCACACACCCCGAACTCACAGGAGCGGCGGCCGACGCCAAAGCCACCAAACTCATCGCCGACATGTTTGTCAGCCTGCGAGGAGCCCTCGCCTATGCCCTTCTTACTCAAGTCTGGCTTATGGTGTATGTGGTCTCTCTTCAGAAAATCCAAGAGCCCACCAACCTACAAGTCAGACGACTGAATGTTGTGACGCGAAAACTGATCAGCAGCCCGAAACGCATCACCTTCCCTCGGATGAAACCGACGAACGAAGTTGACATACACAGTGATTCGGGGTATCGGAAGCTCACCGGGGAGGAGGGCGATGAGACCAAGGGCTACGGCGCACGCGGGGCCAACGTACTACGGCGAGGAAACTCGCCTTAAGGCAAACCCGTTGTTCACCTTTGTGACGGACTATGTGAATCACATCGACTGCAGGTGAGGTCCAGCTATGCCGCTGAGGCACTTGCAGCTGCACACAACCTTGATGAGTGCTACCCTGCGCTCATCACTCTCCACGAGCTCAAGGCAGGGGCTCTGGCTCCACGACAACTACGAGATATGCGTGAAGTCGGAGGCCTAGCTATCCAAATCGGTATACAAATCGTAATCCAGCAAAGATCTTAAGATACCGACGGAACGGACTTTGCTGGGACAGATCAGCTGGATACGTGAGCTCATGGATATAGGTATAGTGCATAATGTGCAGTGGTGTGATACTAGAGATATGACCGCATATGGGCATAGAAAGGGTAGTGTCGATCGGGAGCTGCTTTTGGAAGTGATGTCAGGCAATCAGTCATTTTAGTATGACGTGAAGCAGTTTGTTCCCTTTCGGGGCCCCGAGGACAGAAACAAGCCTAAGTCTAATCAATTGTAGTCTGTCCTTGTTGCCCCCGCGGTCCAGTTTGCCAGCATGGGCGCCTAATACAGAGGCGCCCTTCTAGGTGCTCGGAAACGAGCCTACCATTTCACGCTTGGTAGCGAGCCTGTTCGGTTTGGTTCAGGCTCTTTGCCTTAATATCCGTTTGCTCGGAGAGGTATAGCCCGTTTGGCTTACTTACCTCCTTAGCCGGGCCGATAGCCCTTCGCCGTTCGATGGGGCTATCTCGTATTTGCGTGAAATGCTTTGCGAGGAAGCTCGCCTTACAGTCTGGTGCTAGGCCAGACTGTACGCACTGTTTTTCTTGCAAACAGTCGCGCGCGCGGCCTTTATAGAGCCTAACGGCTGCGCGGCTATACTCTCCGTCTCCTCCCCTCCCGACTTTAAGGGTAGCTCTTTGGGAGATGTTATCTAGAATCGGGAGTATAGCTCGCGCGCCGTTGCGTTTGGCTCAAGGCACGCGCGCCCTATTTGCCCGGGCACCGCGAGTGTTCGCTATGTGCTGGAAAGATCATTACATCGATCTTATCCTATCTTATCCGTCCATTCCTCTTACTGAACAACCTCAGTACGATGCCGGACGCTATTTGCCATCCGCTCCCCATGGAATCGGATGCTATTTGACTTACCATAGTCACTTTCGACTCTGCAGAGGTCTTCGAGGAGTAGCGCCTCTGCGCTGGCGACCCACCGCCTCCACCCTGCAACCTGCGCAGCAGGGCGCCTGCCAAATCCTCGGTTCGCTTCTGCCGAACGACCGCCTTGATCGGTGGGCGCGCCGTGGCCCGCGCATTTCTTGCGAGAGCAGCGTTTTTGGACTTCGCAGGCATCAAATCTTCCCGCGACATCTGCTTGATCCTCATTGTGTCCCGACTTGACGGGGCCATCGCCCTCGTCGTACGCCCTCGGGCACTGCTTGAAGAAGCCCGCTGGATCGATGGGGCAGGGCGCGAGCGCAATCTGGCCTGAGACGATCAACCTCTAGCTGCCACCATCCTCCTTGAATTTGAAGAGCTCGCCGTGCGCCTCATTGCGCTGGAGCGAGCGACCATGGCAATGCGACGAGATGGCGCGCGCATCCTTGACCGTGGGGTCCGACGGGTGCCGCGCGCCAATCCTGGGGAGGAAATCGGCCACCGTTTCCTTCCTCATCTCCCAGGAGTTGTCCTTGGCCATGACTGCTGCCCAGAGCCCCTCTGTCAAGCCATTGCACAGTTGCAACTGGGTCTGAGTCTGCGAGGCACCTGAATTACTGGCGCGCCCGCCTTTCATGCGCAGAGAGACGGCTGACGCCATCGCGGCCCGCTGCCCGTCAGCGAAGATGGTCGCGGGCCAAGCCGGCGCCGCCAAAGCATCAGGGTTGTCTTCGATGTCCCGGGGAGGGCCCTTCACTGCCTCCAAGAAGTGCGCAGGTCGAGCCTGGCGCGAGTCCTGTTAGGGCGATAGGGGAAC